GGGTTTCGGGTTTCGGGCTCTAGGGTTTAGGGCTTAGGGCTTAGAGTTTAGGGCTTAGGGAATTGTAGGAGCCTAAAACATTCGAACTAGGGCTTTGGGATTTCGGGTCTAGGACTTGGGCGCCCGGGGTTTGGGTGGAGTTGGGGCTTCGGGTTTGGGTTGGCTTGCCCAAGCGTCACCCTAAACCCTAAACCCTAAACAAAAGAGCGCGCGAAGCTGTCATGTGGCCGTGGAATTGGGGGTCTTGGGGCCAGCTTCAGGGTGCGAAAGACCGGGCACATCATCAGCCCTAAAACCTTAAACCCTCAAGCACTAAACCCCGAAGGCCCTAAAGCCTAAAGACCCCTAAACACCAAAACCCCTAAAGCCCTAGACCCTAAAGCGCTAAACCCCTAAACCCCTGAACCCCTAGACCCTAAAGGACGAGCTGATGGAAAACCATCAGCTCGTCGTCGCTATAGAGGGGCCTAGTTTAGGGTTTAGGGTTTAGGGTTCAGGGTTTCGGGTTCAGGGTTTAGGGGGCCTACCCTTCTGAAGGAAGCACAGCCCCTCAAAACCCCAACCCTCAAACTCCCTAAACCCGAAAACCCCAAACCCCAAACACCAGAAAGAGGAGCCATAAAAACTCGTAGGCTCTTTGCAAATTGGGCTACAGGTCGAGCTGTGAGTCTGGAGTCTGCCGCGCGAGTGAAGGGCCTAAAAGGGTTTGCGGGCTTCGGGGTTAAAGGGCTTAGTTCAGGGTACCGAAAAGCCCGCAAAACGCAAACCCTAAACCCTAAACCCTAAACCCTAAACCCGTAAACCCTAAACCCGAAACCCAAACTCGAAACCCTAAACCCCTAAACCCAAAATCCTAAACCCTAAACCCGTAAACCCGAAACCCTTTTGTCCCCATGTCTCCCCGCCTCAGCAGTCGAAGCCCTGGGCGCTTCCTCGCGCTTTCTGGCGGAGAACGCGAAGAGCTTGGAGAAGGGCCGGTAGATCTCCTCCACAAGCAGTTTAGGGTTTAGGGTTTAGGATTTAGGGTTTAAGGTTTAGGGTTCAGGGATACACATCATAACCCTAGCATGCATACCTCAAAGCAGGCCTGCCAAAAATCTCCGGCAAACCCCAAA